AGTACTACATGTATATTACTGTATGTCAACAACAATAGAACTCAAAGTGACAAAGATGAAAACCAGTAAAGTAAAAAGTTTTGCTTGTCTTCTATAATCCAATATATCTCTCAATGGGCTTATTAGGTAATTTTGCTAAGGTTAAACCAGGCTTTGAGCATACAGTCGTATATGTAATACATGTAGTAATAAATACAGTATGTATGTAATGTACATACGGCCAGCCTCATGGTGTTTTTGGCTGGAAACAATATTCCTAAGGAGCCCTGGAGAGAAACAGATCTTATCGGGTAAAACTCTACTCTTCCAAATACTTTTTAAAAAATCAACAGCAGTATCTCTACAGCTTTTTAAGATGCAAATTGAAAAGTAAAAATAAAACTGTACAAAAAGGCAAGAAATGGGCCTGTGGACACATCTTGACACAGCAATGCTATTGTTACTGGCTCCTTCTAATGATGATTGTAGTTTCACAATGCACTGACACGTTCTCTCAAGATCTGTGGGCTGTAATGCTTCTTGTGCTTGTCTCCCTTCTTGCCTTCCACATGCTCTCTGCGGTAGGCTTCCCATCGGGCGTCATCACTCTCGTGTGTCAGGTACCTGCTGCCTACCTGTCCCTCCAGCTCCCGCAGGTCACACCAGGTGTAATAGTCCTATAGATACATGGACAGGACAACTTCAATACACAAGGATAAGGATGTCTATCTAAACATATGAAGAAGGTCAGGAAATAAGCTTACAATCATTTCTAAAGCCTAAAGAAGACAAACACTACTACAGTCCTTTGTAAGCGAGTGGCCAATTTTTGCAATGAATCTAGTTTACTGTCATGCAGGTTATATCATGAGCTATGAGGGCGAGGTTTTTAAATTGTACTGGTAACACTCCATCCCACATACTTGTTTTTCAGTTTCATTTTCAGTTAGCAGATCATATTTTCCTTCTTATCTCATGATCAAATACACATCAGCTTTCTCTCACAGGTCCCTGGCATAAGAGACCCCTAACCAGTTGTGTGGATGATGAATGGAGCTCACCTGTAGCCAGATGTGTGCCAGGCATTTGTCAGCAGTGAAACGTCTTCTCATCTTTACCTGCAGCAGGTTGGTGATCAGGTCAACAGCTGGGAAAAAAGAAAAAAAGCAAATGCAACAAATAAGTCAAAATGTCAAGCCTGAAAAAGCATATCTTCCGACAAGTCCATGTCTATATTGAGTGTGGTGACTAATGCTGGTAATTCACATTTCAATACATACTTTGCTCAGAAAATCCTTGTGGCCAGTATGTTTTGAAAGCTTACTTACAGTACTGAACTATAGTGGATACATGTAGCTGAGAGGTTAGAGTGTTAAAACTAGACAAGTAACAAAAATGTTAGTTTTGGCTGCAAAAAAGCTCATGATACAAAAGGAAAGTGATAAGAAGAGGCATAATACTGTATATGCGAAGAGCAAGAATATACACCAATTGTACCATAGGCAGGTGGTATCCATCCTTTTCTCAATTGAAGTCTTTAAGACTTTCTGAACTGCCTCATGCAGATTAAATACCAAAGGAGAAATGAAACCAAATGATATTCTCTTAAATGAGGCCTAGAAAATCAGTGTGGATACCACCACATATTTAAGCTAAAGAAAATCGTGCATCAGAACTAACATGCAGAAGGGTTGATCTCAAAGAAACACAGCTTCTACATGCAAAGTGACTTTAGAGCCAGGTATGAGGAAAAAGGAAAGAAAGCCAAACTTGCATGAAAAGTGCATGCTCAAGAAAGACTACTTTTCATTTCCACTAATTTATCGTCAGGACAGCAGATGATTAGTTGTCGCTGCTGCTGCCACATCACCTTCCAATGTTTTACAGAAAGCAGCCGTTGATTGGAGAAACTGTATTTGATTTGAAGACCATCCCTGTCGGCAGTTGGCGAGAGTGCTCCGTGCAGTGTTATCTAGAGACAAAAAATTAATCCACCTGATCCGACGCTACCTTCATCAGAGATCTCCTTCCATGGGTTCGGTGGGAACATGAAGGCAGCGTTCTGAATTTGATCGTTGATGTCTTCATCCTCGTTGAAGGGGAAGGTACCACTCAGGCTGGGGAGAGTCAAACACATGGGAAGGATGGGAGAGGGGCAAGAATGCAGCATGTTGATCTGTCATCACTGATGGTGTCAAAGAGAACTGTGAAACAATCTGTTCATCTTTGAAGTACTTTAATATACTGGATCCTTACAAAAGGTACAATGCCAATATTTATGATACAAAAATATCCATGTATATACATTGTAAATGCTGAAATTCATGTATAAGTACTGAAACTAGACAGTACTAGCTTTTCCTCACATAGATTCCTTTACACAGAGTACTCTATTGTCTCATAGACAAGACAATCATAGTGGACAAGATCATTAGAACACTGGTAAGGTAGGTACTGTATGCTGTAATGCTCCTACCTGACATAGATGATCACACCTACAGACCACATGTCCAGTGACCGGTTGTATCCTTTGTTTCTCAACACCTCTGGTGCTGAAAGCACGAATCACAACAATACATTTTGAAATTATGATAGTGAGCTCACCGTCACCTCAGTACGGTCGGGCATTTATTCATTCAATTGGCTCCTCAACTCAGTAACACCATTACCCTCTACACACTGTAGCTCTCATAGCATGTACATACTTATACAGGAGCCTACTACAACAATAACAAGTCATGCACTGCGAGCTGGCAACCTATTTTACCCTGGTTGCCAATTGTTTAGCCAAAGTCGGGCTGGTCGGTTAAACCAAGGCTCTGTCCAGCGGATGTATATAGTCCAAGACAATATAGTAATCATCAGTTTTCTGGCTAATTAAGGAATGTTCCAAGAAATCTCATTAATCCTTTGTCAACCTCACTTTTGTACTTACATTGACAATAACAATGGACAACTTGTCATGGTTGTTGTATCATGTACAAATGACAATTACAAATGCATATACACTGTATGTTTGTGGGTGCTGACCAATGCCTGCATGTGCTTACACATACAATATCCATACTTTGGCACAGTTTTAACTTACCCAGATATGCTGGAGTCCCTACAACTGATCTTCTGAAGGACTTCTCTCCAATGATTCTGGCAAAGCCAAAGTCACACAACTTCACCTGAAAGTCATATTCAACAACAGTCAAACACTTCATTGCCAGAGTATGCATACAAATTTAGCTTCTAGAAGTAACAGAACAGACATGTAAAAACTACTATAGATAAAAACTTTACCTGAGGAAAAGCATTATCGGAGGACAGGAGCACATTCTCGGGCTTCAGGTCACAGTGCACAATATTCTTTGAATGCAGATACTTCAGTGCCACTAGAATCTGCAAATGTAAAATACAGTATAATTATTGCAAGATCTTAGATGTTCTCAAACTAACAGTGCAACTATCTAAAATTTCAATTATGTCTTCTATTTTTTGCAATACCGACAGTCATTCCCTGATCATGTTATGAATGATGCGACTTTACCTGAGTGACCAGGAATTTTGTGACACGCTCATTCAGACGGCCCTTCTGACTGGACAGGATCATCTCCAGCATGTCACCCTTCAGCTTCTCCATGACAACAAACACTCGCTCAGGGGTCTCAAACATCCGCTCCAGACGCACAATGCCTGGGTGGTTAATGCTCTGGAAAGCAAAATGATGTATACTGTAGAACCCTAGTGCAAGCACTGATCAACAGAAACACAAAGGAATAATTTCCTCCACAGCTTTTACATCCTAACATCCAACATTTGGAGTTTCTTGCATCTATCAAGTCCTTATGAAACATTTGACTGTTTACTTAGCTTCATAATAGGAAGTACTTACTCTGAGTATGGATACTTCGTTCTTGAGCTGTGTCTCTTGCTTGGTGGGAAAGCGAAGCTTGTCGATCACCTTGATTGCCACCTGACGACCTGATTTTCTGTGCACACCTGTGGTAACATTAAGTATCTATTGTTGTAACTGATATCCATGGTACTTATCTTTCAAACAGCAACCAGAATTCTTACAGCCCAGCAGAGTTAAGGTTTAACATATGCTTGGAAAAATTTTCTTTAATCCTCCCATTTTGTACCATAATGCTGCAATGTGATCCTTTCGGGACTGCCCAGGTTCAAATGTTTTCAATGTACTTGTCTCACTTTTACACAAAAAATACAGACATTTTTTATTCAACAACACCTGATTTTCTTTAGTTCAGTGTATCCATGATAAGTGACTTTAGACATACCTCCATAAACCACACCAAACTGGCCAGAGCCCAAGATATCATCAGCAAAAATCTGGTATTGCTGGCTGATGTCCTGCAAACATAGATAATATACATCTTCACATCTGCCTACTTACACGATTTCTTGAAATTTCCTAGCACATCAAGTTATGATAAGCTTCATCATTAAACTTTTCCTTTGGGATTATTGTTGTGGCAACATGTAAGATTACTTTTTATTCCTTCTCTACTTGCCATATCCTATCTCTAGTCCTGTGTTATGTTAGTAGCTACATGCTCAAATGGTAATAAGGTTTGTATAACTAATGACTCACGATATTGCCATCCATGGGATCATTGGTCTGGTCAGGGTCATTCAGTGCTGGAAGATGAAGACACAAACCATATGTCAAGGTCACAGTAAAATGCAAATTGTAAAGTAAATTCTATACAGAAGAAAGCATACCATTACCAAAGGTGTGATACCTAGCTTCTTTATTTTGAAGGTGATTTTCAAACACAACTAGAAACAAAGACAGAAAAGTGGAGCAAACCATCACAATATGGTCACTAGGACATGAAACTTACTGTGACTAGTGATGCTTGTGGTGCTTGCTGTGCTAGCCTGTGGGGTGACTGGCATCAGGGCTTGTCGAATGGCCATCTCCCACATCTTTGACACAGCAGCCCCTACCCCACTCTCAGGGTCCACTGTGGGCACCTCTCCGTCCACACGCTTCTCCCCCACATAGTACACAACATTGGCAGACACTATCTCAAAGCAGTGTGCCCCTCGGCCCCCCTCAAAAGAGCGCTCCTGCTGGGCTGCCTGCACTCTCAGAATCTCAGCCAGAGGAATATCCTATGTACAAGAATCAACAACATGTTTGGTAACCTATTTGGTAAAGTTTATCAAATGAGCTTCAAAGAATGTCTTACATCAGTCAAAATTCTTGTCAGTTAAAACTTCTAAAGCATGACTGTGCACAAAATCTAATGAAAAACGGACTTGAAGTCACTGCATTCTGAACCCAATAGAAAGTATTGTATTACCACATTACTACTAGTATCCACTTGTGAATGTCAGTTAGTGGAAAGTATTATTCAGATTTTCTTATCTGAGCTCCTAATTTGACATGGAAGTGCATTTCTACTGAGCTTACCTTGTAATATTTACTCCCTACATCACTCTGGAAAAAAGTCAATGACTTGGTGTCTAGACGCCAGTAGTGTCTCTTACGCTGTAAAGAGAAAAGGTCAACAGTAAGGCATGGTATAATCAGGATTTGTGCATTTAGCATTAAGGAGTTCATGACTTCTGTGGATGAAGTCTAGTGGTTGAGTCCTGACATTTAGAAAGTCTGATCTGTCAGCTAAACTAAATGCTCAACTCACGACTTCACTTTGGCAATTTTGACAGTTTCCCCCCGTAAGTTTCTGGTGTTCTACTGTTTTTTCTGTCATTACATATTTCTACCATCCAAATAGAACTTCTTTGTGTGCTTTGAAGATGCCTCTTTCACTTGCACTTTTTCTTGATTTAGAACAATGCTAGGAGATTTCTTAAACACACTATAATGCATGAGTCTGGAAATAGCACATTATCGTCATATGATCAACATATCTTTCAGATGGCTCATCAACAACGCAGAAGCTAAAATTTGGCTATAATAAAATATAATTGCAAGAGGGTTATAATTGAGCCTGAAGAAGTAACAGATTTCTGTAATTTGTCTACTGCTAGATCAACTTACCCATGTGCCAAATTCCATGATGAAAAAATTCCAAGTGTACACAAATGTTAACACCCACATCTTGCCATCCTGCTTGACTCTACAGTCTACTCACTAAGGCTGTCTAACATTTGGGGTCAGAGGTCATTGGCCATGGAAGACAAGTAGGAATGAGAACAGACAATGTTCTTAGTTCATTTGAAAATCTTACACTGACACTTTTCAAAATTGGCAAGCCACAATTGGTATAACACTTGATAAACTGCATGGCTTCACTGTAGGTTGATATCTTTTGGGGAAAATTCTGTTGGGGCACATCATTTATTTATTACATAAAGTCAGATCATTACCATCATCAGCATTTGATAAAACAACCAACATCCTTTCTTTATTTCAGGTAAGACAAGTGCACGCTAATCAAATATTACCCCTATAGAGATGAAGTGGGTGTGATCAAATTCAATTGACCTACAGGGTGTTTTATAGACTACTTATCACCTACAAGTGTACCACACTTTCAATTGTTTACACTAGAAAAACCAGAAAGACCTGTTTGGTAACCGTTAACACAATATTATACAAATCTTCTTATACATGTACAAATCTTCTGTTACCAAAAGTAGACCATAAGGAATACAGAAGAGAAATTTCTTACATCCTTGTGCTAGATTCTGATGGTCATGTACTAAAACCAAACATTTCCGTCATGTAACAATGACATATGGTCATTACTTGTTGTTACTTGTGGACAAAAATCAGTGTAGACTTCCATACATGTGTATAAAGCAAAAGCCCACCATGTTGTCCTTGTTGGTGAAGTGGACCATCCATCCTTCCTTCAGCACTTTGCTGCTGCGACGCTTGGTATGTTTGACAGACTGTACTATCCTCTGTAATGGAATGTTGTTACTCATCACAGGGCTGGAAATAAAAGCAAAACAGTATGCCACTGTAAGTCATTATGTATCATCTGAGCAATTGAAGGTCAATAAATATTATGTCTCTGTGCATTTGCAAAGTATATCAGAAGAATTGAACAGACCAATGTCTTTCTGTCTCCTATAGTTGCATGATACTTCTGTTATATGGCATATTTATCCTACTGTTGCAGGGCATTATAGGACTTTTTTTAACCTGTCAGCTCACCTGAGTAGGGCAGCTCTGTCCTGATCCCCTCCCTCTTCTTGCTCCTGTGAACTCTCATCATTTTCACTCTTCTCTGTAGAGATCTCATCAAAGTCTATCTCACTCTCGTTTTCCTCTCCCTCCTCCGACACAGTGCTGTTCTCTGCACCAAGTTCCAACTCATCTGTACTCAACAAACACACACAGGCTGAAGGAAAATCCTGATCATCCAAACACTACAGGAACTATGTATTTATTCCCTGAACTGCAAGAACTGAGAGAAGAAATGATTTTAAATGGATATTAAGAACAAAACTTACATCTCTTAAAGAAAAGTGTCTCAAATAGAGAAACATTTCACACTTCTATGGTTAAACAGTTACATAATTGTGACGTTACAAAAATCATCTTCTTATCGTTGCTTTAAATACACTGCTATAGAGTAATTATGATGAGCACTAATACACCTACAAGCTTAAGAGTTCTACATTTTCTACAATGCTGGCTTTTAAAGAATATATGGTATGTATGTATGTATGTATGTATGTATGTATGTATGTGTATATATATATATATATATATATACACACACACACACACACACACACACACATATATATATACAAAATCCCAAAATAATTCAAAAGGTATTAAAGAACTTAAGTAGTAAGCTATCAAACAAAAACAAAAGAAAAATGTCTTTACCATCCCTCCTACCTCGATGGAATGCTACCTCTCCAGTGCAGTCTTTTGGTAGTTTAGGTGCACACTTTTTGTGGACATTAAACTTACAATCTGCAAATGATGGTAAACAAACAATAAATTTGTTGACATGTAATAACTATGCACTAAAATGTACACTAGTGTAATGGTGCTTTGGACCATGCTACATGTTATACAAAGATTAACACAGTTGATTTCAAACTAGTAGTATAATGAGATGAACCCCTTTTCAGTACCAAGGAAAGGTCAAAGGTTCATGCTTTGTACATGTGATGCCAGCAGAATGAGTAATTTCAAACTCAACATGGAACCTCTAAATTTCAGACTGAATGGCCATCTCTACGTCTTTATAGCTGCCAAATCAGAAAATCTGTCTACCCAATCTTGAAGTGGAAAATGGCTAATGGCTGAGGTTACCTTGGAGGTTAAGTTGTAGAAGTGCAGGAAAGATCAACACCATTGAGGTGAAGAGTGGGTGTGAGTAAGCAGGGAATCCTTCATCCTCTACCAGGAAGTGTGACAAGTGAAGATAACAACCCAAGTCTCATCCCACTTAAAGGGCAAGTACCAAACTCTCAAAATCAAAGACACATTACCATTAAAAGAAAGCTTCTAAATGCCATGTAGAGGCAAAGAAACTGAGAACAAAATTACCAGACCATCACTGGCCAATGATTTTTGCACCCAGAGGGGAAGATACATGTAGGGGTTCTTGGAACTCTATCTGGTGGCTTTCATTTCAATGTTTGTAATCAATCCACATCACAGAGTCTGACGTTTTACAAGCAGTAAAGCAACCCAATCAGATATGCTTTGATGATGTGGGAAACAGAGAGCATTGGTCAGGTTTTGTAGTCATTGCCTGACAGTCCAACAATAATGTGTTACATTTCACAAGTTACTGTAAGTCTCTTTAGATTCGCGGGGCCTAAAGTTCGCGGTTTCGGGAAAATGGACAATCCGCGGTATTTTTAGATTCGCGATTTCTCCTTGGCCATTCCAAGAAGAACTTGTTAAGTGAATGTTTAAAATAATAAAAGTTCGTGTCCCGGTTCATCGCCTAAAATGCGGAAAAATTTTTGTCCGGCGGTGCACGTTTGACACGGCGAGTGCCGCAGTATCGCGATTCGGTGTCTCATATTATTTTTGATATCAGTATAACTTAAAAAATTTTGGTACTCAACATACGTACATTTGCTGAGAATGAAGTTGATTTGCAGTGATTTGTGGATCGCATGTGTTGTTTCAGTGTTTCGCTTACCGTCGTGAATCGGCCCTCGTGAATGCATGTGGGGAGGGGGGGCACACTTACGCAAAACATATTCGCGGGGAAATAGATTCGCGGTACAAAGGTCCCCGCGAATTCCGCGAATCTAAATATACCGCGGAAATTTGTAGACTTACAGTAGCTTGTTTGTTTAACTGCATGTAGACCAAAAGCAGCTGATGAAGGTGATTTTCCCCAAAGACATGGGGATGGGAAAGACGATGTGTGGGTGGACTAACAGTTTCTAACAGGAAAAGCTTCTCAAGGTTTCCAAAATCAATAATAACAGCTCAGGGCAAAGTCCTGAGTCATTGAAGAGTACACAACACACCCACCCAGGAAACAGCACATTTATCAGTACAGGAGTGCTTCTAATGATGTGGCCTGGAGAGATTCCAGAGGGAGACTTCCTTATTTGCTAGGATGACAATTCACTCAAGAGGTCTCCCTCAGTACAGTATCATCGAGTCTACAGTTTGCATTTTGTAGTTATTTGTTTTTGTAAGCACTATTTCACAGACACATGTAATTGTGCCTTAAGTAGTAGAATCTTTCCCATGTAGGTAATAGGGATATGTGATAAGCTAAATCAATGGTTAGAATCATGTTCATTTTCAATTACTACTTACAATGATTCAAGGTAATGTGCTAAATGTGATTT